TGTCTGGGCCTCATGTGGAAAAACCGATGATGAAAATGGATTCAAATTAACTGGAAGAACATTCTGATCAAAAGTTGCCGGAGGGCCGCCGGGACGCCGCCGGCCGGCCGCCAGCGGCTCCGTTTTCCTGCCAAAATCAACCGGAGGCAGAAATTTATGATTTTCAACAATCTCGTGCGGAATTTCATGCTGAATAACGCGGTCAGGCGCGTTTCCCGAGGTGAGAACCGTAGAGGCCGAAAATTGCAATTTTTCGACAAACTGTCCATTTACGTTTGGTGCCGTAACAGGAGCGTCCCACCTTCGATTGCCGTGATTTTTTGACCAAAGGTTTGCCATCTCATGGGCATTCTGAATATCTGGCGCGTGTATCTGTTGAACCATCGTACAAGAATTAATTTCAAAATCAGTTTCGGGCTGTACTTTTTCCAATGCTTCAATTCCGGCCAAATTGGACGTCGAGGACACCACCCTAGGGGTTTTTGGGCCTTCTGAGTTCATTGGTGATGGTCCCATGTCCAAATTCTGATCAGAAGTGGGTGTTTCGATGACCTTGGGATTCGTGCCATAATTTTTCAAACTTATATCTATTGCGTTGGGGGATGAATCTGATATTGGTGTTATAGGATGTGTTTGGGTCGTTGTTGGTGATGATTTTCCACCACTTGGGGTGGTGCAATCCGGTGGTTTTGGTGGTGGATCGGGCTTATTGGAGTTTTGGTGGGTTTCTCCCATTCTAGAGAGAAGGGAGAGCGTTTTGGAGGTAGAGAGAGAAAGTGTTCGAGAGGGTTTAGGGTTTAGGGTTTAGGGTTTTTTTTTTTTTTTTTTTTTTAAGCAAATACCACTAGTGTGGTTTATTTTATATAATGAAAAGCGGGAAAACAAATAGAGGAGGGGGGCATGGACCTGACCTCCAGCAAATGTAAATTGTAACAAATATTTGAAGATGAAATGCAATCACACGGTTTAGGGTTTAGGGTTTAGGGTTTTTTTTTTTTAGTAAAGACATCCACACATCCTTAATGACTTTTTAGGGTCCACCAAGGAAGGTTGATGGGGGTTAAGGGTTCCCCAACCATGTTTATTTCATAAAAATCAAGAGTACAGGAAAGGAGGGGGGCATAAACCTGACCTCCAAAAAGCAACAGTGCAACAAATGAAAAATTATAAATGAACAAAGTAAATGAGGAAGTACTACTCCCTTGTACAAGAAAAATGAAAAAATGATTGCCTAAACTACGAACCTCTAAAGCTGGGCAATCCATATCTGTCGATCTGCACCAATGCCCTAATTTGTCGGGGCAGGTCAAGTGGTCCATATTCTTGGTAATGCTGGTGATCCCAACCCTCTGAAGCAAGAGAATCTGCAACCTGGTTACCTTCTCTGTAGATATGAGAAACTGTGTCTCTGTCAAGGC